CTGCAAAATTTTCCAATCTTAACTTCTACCAAGGATGTCAATTCTCCTCGATCTTGGTCCCAAGTCTACCTCTTTGACTGAATCTTTTTTTTTTCCTCCCATGTGATCATACTTTTTATCTGGTTTCTATATGACTAGTTCTTTCTGTTCACTGGTATTCCACAACGTAATAGGGTAACTACAATTAATATTAATGAATCATATACTATATAAAGAAGTAAAAAGAGGAGTTCATAGGCTCCAAATATGAAGGAAAGGATACAGCTTGCCTGATTTGGTCAGTTTACAATGTATGCATCTATTGAAATATTGTACTGTGCTCAGTAAAGGTGTATAAGTATTACAAGTTCATAAAAATGCTTAAGGCTGGCGCCACAGCTCAATAGGCTAATTCCCAGCCTGCGGCGCCGGTGCACCAGGTTCTAGTCCCAGTCGGAGCACCAGATTCTGTCCCAGTTGCCCCTCTTCCAGGTCAGCTCTCTGCTGTGGCCAGGGAGTGCAGTGGAGGATGGCCTAAGTGCTTGGGCCCTGCACCTGCATGAGAGACCAGGAGAAGCACCTGGCTCCTGTCTTCGGATCAGCATGGTGTGCTCTCGCAGCGCGCCAGCCGCGGCGGCCATTGGAGGGTGAACCAATGACAAAGACCTTTCTCTCTCTCTGTCTTTCTCTCTCACTGTCCACTCTGCCTGTCAAAAAATAAATAAATAAATAAATAAATAATGCTTAAAAACAATGCTATTATTTTGGTTCAGAAAAGTTCTTTAACCCATGCATAATTCTTTCTAATCACACACTTTCACGAATTTTTTGATGACTCCTTATATGCATGGATTTCAAGCGTTTATTTTCCAAACCAAGGTAATTTTTTCTCTTAATTCCATTTTCCACAAAGTTTTTCAAGATTCTTATATCTTATCGTTGTTAAATGAACAATAGTATAAAGGAAAATAATCAACATGGAGCTTTTAGAAGTGATATAGCCAAAGACAAGAACAACCAGATTATATTTGAAGTAAATTCTGAAGTCATAGACTTTGAAAATAAAAGAGAAATAGCTTTGTTCCTGCCCCCAGCAACAACTACAAAAGCTCAAAACAAAGTAAAGAAAGAAGTAAAGCTTTTTCCTGTTATTACCATGCTAAAATGGATACATAGTATAGATTTCTTTTTTAAAAAATTGCCATCAGAAAAATCAATAGTATCTAGCAAATGTGATGTTTTGAGATGTTTCTTTTCACTCCTGTCCTCTAAAAGAGTTATAATTTTTTTAAAAAATTGATTTATTATTTTCCCTCACTAGTTCTTTAGCAGATATTAATTATATAGGAATCAAACCTTTCTTTTTAACAACCCGTTTCCTAATCTTCAGGTAATTTATTTCCCTCCCCTGTATTGATGCATTCTTGTTTACATCATAACTAGAAAAAACAATTTCCAGTACCTGTCTTTAAAGACTTTTTAAATCTCATGTTCAAAATTTTATTTTAAATCCAATCCAAATAAGTCTGTGTAGTTTTACTATGTGTATATCGATTCTATACATGTGCCCAAATTAGCACATCTGTTAAATTTTTTATACTCCAAAAGTTTTATGTTATTAAGTAATTCAAAAGATGAATGGTATCTTTGAAAGCAATTATGTTAAAAATAGATATTGTCATTTAATTTACAATACTAGAGTAATAAAATCCAAATAAGAAAACAATATATAAAGTTACTTATTTTCTGAATAATTTTTTCAAAACTCCTTTTAATCATCAGAATTGATTTTTAAAGACCATGTATGCTTTTTTTAAAAAGATAGAAACAAACATCAAAAAGGAAGAATTTTTTTATTTTTTCTTTTTTTAACTTTTATTTAATAAATATAAATTTCCAAAGTACAACTTTTGGATTATAACGGCTTTTCCCCCCATAACCTCCTTCCCACCTGCAACCATCCCATCTCCCACTCCCTCTCCCATCCCATTCATATCAAGATTCATTTTCAATTATCTTTATATACAGAAGATCAACTTAGTAAATACTAAGTAAAGATTTCAACAGACTGCACCCACACAGACACACAAAGTATAGAGTACTGTTTGAGTAGTAGTTTTACCGTTAATTCACATAGTACAACACATTAAGGCAGAGATCATACATGGGGAGTAGGTGACTCCTGTTGTTGAATTAACATTTGACATTCTTATGTATGTCGTCAGTAATCACCCAAGGCTCTTGTCATGAGCTGCCCAGGTGATGGTAGCCTCTTGAGTTTGCCAACTCCGATCTTAATTTACACAAGGTCATAGTCAAAGTGGAAGTTCTCTCCTCCCTTCAGAGAAAGGTACCTCCTTCTTTGATTGCCCATTCTTTCCTCTGGGATCTCACAGAGATCTTTCATTTAGGCTTTTTTTTTTTTTTTTTTCCATGGTGTCTTGGCTTTCCATGCCTGAGAAACTCTCATGGGCTTTTTAGCCAGACCCAAATGCCCAAAGGGCTGATTCTGAGGCCAGAGTGCTGTTTAGGACATCTGCCATTCTATGAGTCTGCTGTATATCCTGCTTCCATGTTGGATCATTCTCTCCTTTTTAATTCTATCAGTTAGTATTAGCAGGCACTGGTCTTGTTTATGTGATCCCTTTGACACTTAATCCTATCATTATGGTCAATTAGGAACTGAAATTGATCACTTGAATTAGCGAGATGGCATTGATACATGCCACCTTGATGGGATTGAATTGGAATCCCCTGGCACATTTATAACTCTACCATTAGGGGTAAGTCTGATTGAGCATGTGCTGAACAGTACATCTCCTCCCTCCCTTATTCCCACTCTATATTTAACAGAGATCACTTTTCAGTTAAATTTTAACACCTAAGAATAATTGTGTTAATTAAAGAATTCAACCAATGGTATTAAGTAGAACAAAAAAATACTAAAAGGAATAAAATAGTAAGTTGTTCCTTGACAGTCAGGACAAGGGCTGATCAAGTCATTGTTTCTCATAGTGTCCATTTCACTTCAACGGGTTTCCTTTCAGGTGCTCAGTTAGTTGTCACCGATCAGGGAGAACATATGATATTTGTCCCTTTGGGACTGGCTTAACCACTAAGCATGATGTTTTCCAAATTCCTCCATCTTGTTGCAAATGACCGGATTTCATTTTTTTTTTTTACTGCTGTATAGTATTCTTTTTTTTTTTTTTTTTTTTTGACAGGCAGAGTGGACAGTGAGAGAGAAAGACAGAGAGAAAGGTCTTCCTTTTGCAGTTGGTTCACCCTCCAATGGCCGCTGTGGCCTGCGCACCATGCTGATCTGAAGCCAGGAGACAGGTGCTTCTCCTGGTCTCCCATGCAGGTGCAGGGCCCAAGGACTTGGGCCATCCTCCACTGCACTCCCTGGCCACAGCAGAGAGCTGCCCTGGAAGAGGGGCAACTGGGACAGAATCTGGCGCCCTGACCGGGACTGGAACCTGGAGTGCTGGTGCCGCAGGTGGAGGATTAGCCTATTGAGCTGCGGCGCCAGTTGTATAGTATTCTATAGAGTACATATCCCAAAATTTCTTATCCAGTCTTCTGTTGATGGGCACTTAGGTTGATTCCATGTCTTAGGTATTGTGAGTTGAGCTGCAATAAACATTGAGGTGCAGACAGCTCTTTTATTTGCCAATTTAATTTCTCCTTAGGGTAAATTCCAAGGAGTGGGATGGCTGGGTCATGTTTTAGGGCTATGTTCAGGTTTCTGAGGAATCTCCAAACTGACTTCCATAGTGGCTTTATTAGTTTGCATTCCCACCTACAGTGGGACTAAAATATGCTTCTATAAATGTATAGAAGACATTAATACATGGATGATAAGTGATGTAACTGAGAAAGTATTACCAGTTTCAATAAGGCTAATGTCTGAAAGAACTAACATGTACAACATTAGTGACAGGAATTATTATCTTTCAGGTGATATTTACACACACAAACTACAAGTGGTCTTTAAAATGTTGATGGGCTTTGTATATCATGAAACAAATATGTATAGATATCAAAATTATTTTGTAGTTAAATATATTTTAATTAATTAAGCTTTTGATAGAACTTTATACAATATGCATATGGATTCGATAGTCACTATGTTATATATTTTTAAAAGATTTATTTCTTTTCATCTAATTGAAAGAGCAACAGAGAGACAGAGAGATTTCTTACATCTGTTACTTCATGCCCCAGATACCCACAACAGTGTTGGGCCAAGTCAAAGCCAGAAACCAGGAACTCCATTCAGGCTTCCCACTTGTATAACAGAAATGCAAGTAGTCGGCCATCATTCCTACCTCCCAAGCATATTGGCAAGAAGCTGAATTGGGAGTGAAGGAGCTGGTACCCAAACCAAGCATTCTGGTAGAGGATACAGGGGTCCCATACAGTGACAACCAGCTGTACCACAATGACTTCCCCTATGATGTATAGTATGAGTGGAAAAATAGGAATAAGTAAAATTTTAGTCTGGGAAGTAGGTAAAATCTAAGTATTTACTACAGTAGGTAACTACAACAAAGAGCAATGTGTAAAACTGTCCTCAATAGAATGCTAGGGAATGAAGAGTGAGGAGATAACTCCTAGAAGAGATTATCATGTAAGGCTTTATGAGAAAGCTAACAGTTGATGGGTATATTATTTTTGCTAATTAAAAGACTAACAATAGCACTAACACTTATAATCTGCTTTTTGTTGCAGATATTGAGGTTTTCTTGCAGTAACCTCATTTAATACTTTCAATTTCCAGTGATGACAGATACTTTCAATATACCTATTTCACACACAGGAAAACTGAGATTAAGAGAAACATTTCCAAGGTCAAAGTAGCAGTAGTAGTAGTAGTAGTAATAGCAACCAGTGAAAAAGCATCTTTGAGGTGTCAAGAAAGCCATATGACCTCACCAGTTTTGTATTTTACAATATACTGATTATTTGGATGTCCTGTATGTAAGAAACCATTGATCTTTTATGTCCCTCCTTCTCAGTTACCTATATTGGCATCATCGGTGGTTAGCCTGTACTTCCTTGAACTCACGGATGTCTTCAAACCTGTGCATTCTGGATTTAGCTGCTATGACCGGAGTCTCAGCATGCCATACATTGAGCCAACCCAGGAGGCAATTCCATTCCTCATGTTGCTTAGCTTGGCTTTTGCTGGACCTGCAATTACGGTAAGAATGTCCCTCTACATAGCACTTGTCAATCCCACAAAACGAAACATAACATGTTTATGTAATAAGTGGGTGAAAAACAAATCAAACATCAATTCTAAATGTTGGACCATGAAGACCATGTCTTAAAGAGACTTTAGGAACATTATTTGGAAATAGTAACAAATTATTGCCATTAAAAGTTAAAGCTTATTTGATTTCAAAAATGATGGATTCCTAATGTTAACTTTCATAAATCACTATGAAAAATTTTGTAACTGCACAATTCTTTCAGAATGGTTAACATGTCATTTGTGATACACTTCCTACTTAAATTTTTTTTCTTGTGCTCATTTGGTATCTGAAGTCTGGAAAATTAGTGGGAAAACAATTCTATAGCCAATGGACTTCTCAAAACTACATTGTTATAACATTTGCAGTTTTTTTATATATCAGCATTTTTTAATCAGCATTTCTTATTGATTATGAGCACTAAGTAGCAGTAATTATAAAAAACTCAAAAGTAGCATTGCTAGCATACAGCCACATACATAGACACACAAATAATATGCTTTAGATGCAAAATAGGCATTTTCACTTTAAAATATGCATGCAAAGAAATGCCCAAATCTACTAGAACTGAATTAAAAACCTAGTTTTTTCCTCCATGTTAATCACATTGTTGAATAGCACAATTTTAGATATATCCATTTCTAAATAAGATTACACAAGCAGTTCCACAATGTCTTATGCCACCAGAATATTCCCTAAAGGACAAGACCATGTTTCTTTTTCTTTTTCTTTTTCTTTTTTGCCAGGCAGAGTTAGACAGTGAGAGAGAGGGAGACAGAGTTATAGACAGTGAGAGAGAGACAGAGAGAAAGGTCTTCCTTCCATTGGTTCACTCCCCTAGTGGCCGCTATGGCCGGCGCTACACCAATCCGAAGCCAGAAGTCAGGTACTTCTTCCCGGTCTCCCATGTGGGTGCAGGGACCCAAGTACTTGGGCCATCCTCCGCTGCCCTCCCAGGCCACAGCAGAGAGCTGGACTGGAAGAGGAACAACCAGGACTAGTACCCAGCACCCCAACTGGGACTAGAACCCCGGGGTGCCGATACCACATGTGGAGGATTAGTCTAGTGAGCCACGGTGCCGGCCAAGACCATGTTTCAAAAATAATACTAGCTGGCGCCGCGGCTCACTAGGCTAATCCTCCACCTTGTGGTGCCAGCACACCAGGTTCTAGTCCCGGTCGGGGTGCCGGATTCTGTCCGGTTGCCCCTCTTCCAGGCCAGCTCTCTGCTGTGGCCAGGGAGTGCAGTGGAGGATGGCCCAGGTGCTTGGGCCCTGCACCCCATGGGAGACCAGGATAAGTACCTGGCCGCAGCATCCATTGGAGGGTGAACCAACCGCAAAGGAAGACCTTTCTCTCTGTCTCTCTCTCTCTCACTGTCCACTCTGCCTGTCAAAAAAGAAAGTAATACTATTCATTTCTACCAGTAGGAACACTTGCTTTGCTTTTAGTATGTTTGTGAATGTCAGAGGATGCGGTTCTTAAATGGAAAACTTTATTTAAATGGAGTTTTTGCAAGATACTCTAATAAATTGACCTATTCATATTTAATACTTCAACAGTTCTAACTTTTTTAAATTTTATTTTTAAAAAATTATTTCACAGAGAAAGAAAGAAAGAGACATAGACAAAAAGGTCCCATCCTCTGCTTCACTCTCCAAATGCCTTCCTGCAAAGACTGGACCTGGGCAGGGGCCAAACTCAGGAGTTTCTAAACCTTATACTTTGCCCATGCCGTGGCTCAATAGGCTAATCCTCCACCTGCGGCGCCGGCACACTGAGTTCTAGTCCCGGTCAGAGCACCGGATTCTGTCCCGGTTGCCCCTCTTCCAGGCCAGCTCTCTGCTGTGGCCAGGGAGTGCAGTGGAGGATGGCCCAAGTGCTTGGGCCCTGCACCCCATGGGAGACCAGAATAAGCAGCTGGCTCCTGCCTTCGGATCAGTGTGGTACGCCGGCCGCAGCGCGCCAGCCACGCCAGCCATTGGAGGACCTTTCTCTCTGTCTCTCTCTCACTGTCCACTCTGCCTGTCAAAAAATAAAAAATAAATAAATAAATAAATAAATAAACCCTATACTTTTACATTGGTATGAACTTTTATAAAATTTTCCCAATATTAAATATCAACACGCTATTTATACCATGAATAAATCTCATAAAATATTATTAGAAAATAAAATTGAAACTTAACTTTCCACAAACTTTACCATATTTAGAATATGTCAAGTGACTGTAAAGTAATGAATTATTTGAACTGCATTATTCAAGTAATTAAAACAACAAATGATATACTTGGAAATAGCTGTGACTCTGAGACTAATAAAACATTAGTATTGTTCAGAGTAACAGCATTTTTCTGTCATTTTCTAAAACAAAAACATTTGACCAAAGCATAAAGAATATAAAGGGTCTTCAAAGGGTTCATGAAAAAAGCATATTGTGAAAAATAATTTGGAGTTTAAAATACTTTTTCTATAGTAATTGTGCTGTTTAAGTCTGCTTCTCCACAAACTTTTTGCAGTATTTTTGTATAAGCTTTGAATCTATCACATCAGGTGCTAGCATTGCTGTATAGCAGGTAAAGCCATTGCCTGCAACACCAGCAATCCATGTGGACACTGGTCCATGTCCCAGCTGCTCCACTTCTGATCCAACTCCCTGATAATGCTATGGAAAAAGCAGCAGAAGATGGTGCAATTGTTTCGGCCCTTGTTACCCACATGGGAGACCTGGATGAAACTCCTGGTTTCCAGTTTCCCGGTGGCACTCTGGGGAACAAACTAGTGGATAGAAGATCTCTCCATCTCTCTGTCTCTGTCTCTCTCTCTCTCTCTCAACTCTGACTTTCAAATAAATAAATAAATAAATAAATCTCTTTTTTATAAAAGGCAGAATTACAGAGCAGGGAGAGAAAGAGAGAAGAAGGAGGAGGAAGAGAGGAGAAAGCTCTTTCATCTGCTGGTTCACTCCCTAAATGGCTGTAACTACAGGGCCTTGGCCAGTCCAAAGCCAGGAGCCAGGAGCTTCTTTTGGGTTTTCTCTGTGGGTGCAGGGGCCCAGTCACTTTGGCCATCTTCCGCTGATTTCTCAGGTGCATTAGCAGGGAGCTGGATTGGAAGTGGAGCAACCAGGTCTTGAACTGGTGTTCATATGGGATGCCAGTGGTGTAAGCAGAGGCTTAGCCTGCTATGCCACAACACCAGACTCATAAATAGATCTTTAAAAAATCTATCACACAGGAAAGCATTTTTTTTAGTTGTCATAAAGTGCCAAAATTTATCGTAAGTGATGCATTTTAAATAAAACACTTCATAAATGTTCATGATTTTTCTGAGAAGACTGAGTTGATGTACAATCATTTAAATAATTTGCTTTTTATATATCCAGAACTCTTTCTTCCCTAGAGTATCTTATCAAGCTCTTACGAAAGCAATTCTAATTGTGACACTCCCTGAGCACCATTTATCTCATGTTGTTCCTTTGCTGACACTGTTAGATATCCTGGGGACAATGACCTTAGCTTCATCTCTGAGTTCTTGCTTCTATTGACTCCCTGTCTTTCAAAAATAAATTCTAATTTGCAGTTTGGGGACGCTTTCTGGGAGAATCAGAATTGAAGCTCTCTTCCTTGAGCCCTAAGAAAGGAAAGACAGAAATCCAACAAGGCTACCTTCCACCAAACTTGCCTGCGGAGCTCATGCCAACTCCTTCCACAGCGGCCCCACTCAATTCTGCATTATTTGTAGAGTCTCTATACCTTCTGCATGCCTTCTAATGGGAAGTGAAGCAAATTAAGAAACAATGTGTACCCTGGACCCCTAATTTCTCCCCTACCTCTTACAGCTGCAGGGTACTTCAATGTCAGCAATTCTTTGCTATCATATTGCCTTCTTAGGTTTGGGACAAACACCTTGATAGTGAGACACATCTTGATTTTGCTGATACCAAATGTTGGTTTTCCCACCTTTCTCTCCAAACACACACCATATCGCTAGACTTCATTCTAATTTTATTTTTCTCTGTGATTCTAAGGCCTTCTCCCCAAGCAGATTTTTTTCAACATTGATTCTGTAGGGTCTGTGGTCATCCTTCTCAAGGATCATAACTCCAGCTCTAATCTTACTATGTAAATCACTGCTCTAACTCCTTTTACCACTTTCCCAAAGTGAAAATATCAGATTCTAGTCTCTGACTTTCATGCATGACACTTTGTTGTTGTTGGTTTTATGGTTGCATAAACCTATTCCCAATGTGCGGTGCTAAAGATGGTAGAGAAGTAGAAGGAGTCCTTTGTTTGGAAGTGGTTTTAGGGCAGATTGCCTGAGGAGACGGGTTTCACCTGTCCATTCTCATGGAGGAAAAGCCCATAGCAGCAACAGTCTATAAAAGGACCTTCACATGAACAAATGGAAGATCCTCTGATACTTAGGCCGGCACTTAAATACAAAACATTTTGCACTTTTTTTTTTACATGTTTTTAATGCTTTGAGAGATTTTTTATTGTCTGTGAAACTGTAAAAATGCTTTTCATGTCTATGAAATATGTATTCTTGTTTCTCTAAAATTGTCCTTACATTGGAAATTTCTTTCTTAATATCTAATTTTCCTTTATTTTAGAATATATAAAATAAGCATTTTGTTTAGGTCTTCTGAGATTATTCCTCAGAGAAAACAACACAGAATATCTGGATTTATCATAAATCTTCATGAAGTCTACATAAATAGAAAAAATATGTAATTTTTCCTTCCCTGGAAATAAAATTGTTATTATATATTGTTAAAAGGTGACTGCATCTAATTTTATAGGAGATTTCTATTGGAATTTAATTGTCATTCCCAGAAGTTAGTCTTAGCTTTAGGAGACTGTACAACCAAAATGTAGAATATTAAACCTGTTAGAACTTCCAAAAGACATTCACTGAATGTTTAAACATTGAAAACACTATGAGAAATATTACAATGCTTCTGTTGTTCTGCTTTGTATTACAAAGGAGATATTTTGGATTCTGAGTTCTCCATATGGTGACTGTTCCAAGGCCAGTGGCCGTGTGATAAGAAGCAACATATTTTCCCTTGACTTATCCCCAAAAACAGAGTCAGCAAAGAAATTGTTCCCTAAATCTGCCAATAATATTTGATACAACAAAAAACTTGTATTGGTTTTTCTCAGGCTTGGGTATAACAAAAAAAGAGTATTGTAAAAAACACTTGTCACAAACTATTTTCTGTTTTCAAATAACAAAAGCAACAAATAATTTTGTTGTCAAAACTTAAATCTTGGCTCCTCAATGTGTGTGCCATTCAGAAGGCAGAGATAAACAGAAGATCTGGAAACACGTCAAGAGGCATTCTCCCTTACTCTGAGGAGAATTTGGTCTTTAAGCCCAATTGAATCATTTTGAAAATTCATGCAATGACATACAGACCAATATTAAATGAATAGAAGTATAAGGAGAAAATTAACACGTCCCTTAGTGAAAGGGACAGTTGGGTGATGTCAAAATACTGAGAAGAAACCTCTATCCATATTACATAATCAAGCCAAATAGTGTTGACATGCTCTTAACATACGAGTTTTAAGCATGTTAAACAAATCAAATGAAACTCCATAAATGTGAATGTCATTTGAGATAATGACTATTAAGTTGTATTGTAAGACACATTTCTCTAAGAGAACTGTACAAATAAATTATTACATAATTTATTATTCATGGGAAAAAGTGAATTCTTATACAAATAAATTAAAAGAGAAAAATAGAACTGTTATTGAATAAGTAAAAATGAAATAAATCTCTTATAGTTGCACAACGATGTACTTTGTAGTAAGTGGTTAATTTTTTTGAAAATTTGAAATAGCTATTACATTGTGCAGTGTGAGTGACATGTTGTGTCCCATCTATCTATACAGGGCATAGGACCTATTGCATTTCCATGTCTAACTTGAAGTGCTAATGTAAGATGATATTTTAAAAGAAGTGTAAATGGTTAACTCCATGTTCACTGATTTGGAATAAATTCCTTTGATTATTTCTTTACTAATGCATTTTGAAGGACTTTCTCCTGCATAAGTTATCCACATGTATAGCTATTGGCAGAGTTCCACTAAGAGAACCAGTTCTTTAATTTTTATATAAATTAAGATTCTCTATTGTTGTACATACACCACATTACCTAAGAACTAAATAAAAATTTGGACATTCTAAGAAGAATGCCAAAGGCTTGCCGTTATTATGCAAAACACTACAATTTTAAACATTTCATAAAATAAATGTCACATTAGTAGTGAGAACTCAGAGGCTATTTCAGTCCTCATTATGGTTATAATATATATGGTGACACGGCCACTGGTATCTGAGTAACTGTTAGATATCATGTAACCTTACTTTTCTCAATTTCAAACATTTTTGTCAATCATGATATAATTTCACAACAACCTTTTAGGTTCAATAATCTGAAATACTTGAAAAGTTTTTACATAAATAAGTCATAAATTCAAATCATGCTTGTGTTTTACAGAATGATGGCCACCTTACAAATAATAACTCCAAGACCCAGGGTATTTAGCAAACATGAATTCCACATGTTCACAGACATTAATCTCACAATGCCAGGCATTGTGCTAGTCAGAGAATTTATGCAAATAGTAGAATATTTTCTCACATGTGAAGGATAAATCGTGTCATTAATGTGAGAGGAAAAAAGGTAAATAAGAAATACTTCTTCTTTCGAGATAGTCCTAGCCTAGTGAGACTCCATCAAATGAAAAATGAAAGTTCACTTCAATGAAGCTGCTATAGAGGGGTGAATGGGAGATTTTTAAAAGAGCCACATGAAGTGGACACAATTCAGTTTAGAGTGCACTAAAAGAATTGAAGGAAAAACTCCTGAAGCAAATGATGCCTGAACAGTGTTAACTTCACTTACCCCATTTGTCCAAAAATCCCACAGCAAAGTTTATTGTTCCATAACTGAGACAATCCTGATAATCACAGTATCGTTCTGTGCCCATTGTGAATACACTGTCTCAATACCTTGTCTCTAAGAAATACCACCCTGCTTGCCCAAATTCTCTGTGATCTGCATTCTCAAAAAAGATAGCCACTAGCTAGACACAGAATATCTTTTTAAATATAATTTAATGAAAAAATTCATATAATGTAGTGAAATAAAATTTAAAATCCAGCCCCTCATTTGCAGTAGCTACATTTCGAGGACTCACTTTGTAGGTAGTAGAAACCGTAATAGACAAAGTAAAACATGTCTCCATTCTCATAGAAATTTTAATTGTATAGATACACTCTAGATAGCAAATTTACACCTTCATGCATGCTTTCTATGGAATGATCCTTATACTCAGTACCAAAGTGTTTTAGGGACCTAATCTTCTAGAAAGGGTTCTTGATCTTAACTTTGGTGCTTGTTTTTTGACACCCTCCCAGTCATCTTAGTTTCACAGGTTTAGGAATGAAATGCTAAGACTGTAAGAGCTAAGGCAGAAGCAGTCACTGTGTGACTAATCAGTTAGATGTCACTGGATGTTGTTGGACAGAGGACCAAAGGCCTGAGTGCTACAGTCATATTGAAACACCAGGATGCTCTCACACCTTTGATAGGCAGGCAGGAGTACAGAAGATCCAACAAAATCTGTTTAGAGTGTCCTGAATGCTTACTTCTCACAGCTCATTCAGATACTCATGATGTATCTTCACCTCTAAATCTTTTAAGAATAATATATTTGCTGAATTAGCAATGTGTTGAGATGATATGTGACTCCCTTTCTCCCTTTTACCCATTGGTATAACAGGTACACCCACTCTTTTGCCTGAATGCCCTTTGCTTTGCAGATCATGGTAGGGGAAGGAATTCTCTACTGTTGCCTGTCCAAAAGAAGAAACGGGGTTGGACTGGAGCCTAACATTAACGCTGGAGGCTGCAACTTCAACTCTTTCCTTAGAAGAGCCGTCAGATTCGTTGGTGGGTGTGGGAAACCACAGAGAAAGGAATTGTCTTTTTAAATAGAAATGTTTTATTTAATTACAGATTTCAAGTGTTTGAAGCTATAATTTAAAAGTACAATTTTGGTACATGATGAGTTTTACATAACCCAAGAAACATTAAAAATACCAAAATTTGGGCTTTGTATCTGCAATGTGTTATTTTGTTATGGTACTTGTTCTGAAAGTGAACAAGCTATGTATTTCAGTATTTTTGTTTTTGTCTTAGCTTTGGTTAAAGCATTACTTTAAAAGGTTTTACCACATCTGTGTTCAGCTTTTTAAAATGAAAAATGAAGGTCAGCAGGCCAATACGAATGGACAGTGCTTTAGAAATTACTTTAGGCACAACAATGATTCCACTTCAAATGTCCTGGAGTGTCTTTACCCAGAAGTTATTGTACATGCAAATGTCACCAGCCAGCACTGTGTAGTGGCTATTTTTCTAAGGCTATAGCCCCTCACACTCTCCCTAATTTTTATGACATCTGTAGAAAATCTATAAGCTTGCCTGAAAAGCATTTGGATTAAATCAGTTTCACAGCCTTCTTCTGTTTGGCTAGCATAGGAATATTATAATGCTGTTTGAATCACAAGTTATTTTACTTATTTACTGGTTTTGAGTTAGTCACCCACTATACAGTGCAACAATCTGAACACCTGATATTCATTTCAAATAAGTCAGAATAGAGTTATTTTTTATCTATGACATGTCAGCCCAAAAGAATAAGTACCTTCATTTAATACCTAGTAAATAATTATATACAAAATTCCCACAAAAGGAAAAACCTGATCTAAATCATGCCCTAAAATCTGCTCCAGTGATTATTTTTAGCACCATATCAAGAAAGCATGAAAATAGACCCCCATATTAAGATCACAAACTGAAGCAAGGAAATGAAAATATAGATATTTAGCTGATCTCATAGAAAATATTCCTTAATATAACGCAATGTTGTGGACATAAGGGACATGCACGCTCTCTGAAATGCCACCAAACTGTAGAAATGAATTGTTCCAGCCTAGGGAACAATGCTTCAGAGTCAGCTGCCAACAATTCCCACTTTCTGTAGGCCTGGAGATTATCATTTTCCAAACTAAAAAACAGGTGGGTTTCTCCTCTCATTTGAACTCTTTGCCAAGGCCTTCCATGCTCTAGGAATGAGAATGTAGAAATAAAATTTCTATGTCCTGGATCCCAGATGTGTTGGGGAAGGGAATGGCCGAGTGGTGATTAGCTGACAATAAGCAGAGAACGAGACTCCAAAGCAGGGTAATGTGTTTCCCCCTACACTTGGTCTAGAGGAATCAAGTGAAGAATTACCCAGCTGCCTTTCATAATGATTTCTATGAGAAACTAATGAATTATAGTCCAGATTATCAAGTGAGAATGAATCCAGGGTGTTAAAACAGCATGACAGGTATGGACATTGTCTAGATTATGTGTATGTGAGCAGAAAGCTGCATTTCCAAGGACAGACCAAGCAAGCAGCTGCAAAAAAACATGGAGTTTCTGTGGACTGGTGTACCTCAGAGTTTGTGATTTTATGGTCTAACACTTGTTCCAGGAAAGAATAAAAAGAATTTGGATGAGGAGGAAAGATAGAGCTTCACAATTTCATGGAAAGTACATACTATGAAAAACTTATGCATTAGTTTCAAAAGTTTTAGATCCATTTTTTTCCATGAGCTTCTTGAAATCTCCTTATGTAAGAACATGATCTTTTAGTTGCAAACATTCAGGCAGGATCCCGTTGCCATGTAACCAAAATATAATCATTGATTCCATAACAGGGTTTGCCTGCCCTCTTCTTTTGATTAGCACCCACAGCTAGTAAGTGTGGCTAGAGTTAGACAGCAGGCCAAAGGTAGAAAGAGTTCTGACAATTTAACATGTTAAGCATTTTTAAATCATTTGAAATTTTCCTCCATTTCCAACTAACTCCTCTCCAGTCATGGAATTGGCCACCTTAAGGTATCTGACCAATTGTGATCAATGGTTAACCATGTTAAGAACTGGACCTTCTTCTTTCTTTTTTTTTTTTAGATTTATTTATTTATTTATTTGAAAGGTAGAGTTACAGAGCAGTGGGGGGGGGGGGGAGAGAGAGAGAGAGATCTTCCATTTGCTGGTTCACTCCCCAATTGGCCGCAATGGCTGAAGCTGCATCTATCCGAAGCCAGGAGCCTGGACCTTCTTCCAGGTCTCCCACATGGGTGTAGGGCCCAAGGACTTGGGCCATATTGTACTGCTTTCCCAGGCCAAAGCAGAGAGCTGGATTGGAAGTGGAGCAGCTGAGACTCAAACCAGCACCCATATGGTATGCTGGCACTGCAGATAGCAGCTATACCCACTAGGCCATAGTGCTGGCCTCTGGCCCTTTTTAACCAAATATGCCCCACATTCCCACTTTGCAGATATAGCCCTTTCTTTGGTCTTAAATATATATTTGGAAATTCAGAGATATTTTTATATTGTCTTCCTGAAATTAACTCTTTAAGAAATTAATCACAACAAATTTTAGGGTTGTCCTGTTAACATGTGATGAATGTTTTTGATGCTGATGCTACAGCATTAACGACCAACTTGGTAACAATTTCTTTCATTTTGCTTGTAGGTGTTCATGTATTTGGACTATGCTCTACAGCTCTCATTACAGATATAATACAACTGTCCACAGGATATCAGGCACCATACTTTCTGACTGTGTGCAAGCCAAACTATACCTCTCTCAATGTGTCTTGCAAAGAGAATTCCTACATTGTGGAAGATATTTGTTCTGGATCTGACCTTACAGTGATCAACAGTGGCAGGTTAGAAACTGAAATCTAGAAACATGTCCAGTGTCTTCCCTATTCAGTAATGGCTAGAGTATATCATCTTATTCAACCCTTTTTCAGTCATAATGATGTAGATTTATTTCATTTTTTTTAATTCAGTGATTTCTTTTTTTTCAACTTTTATTTAATAAATATAAATTTCCAAAGTACAACTTTCGGATTATAACGGCTTTTCCCCCCATAACCTGCCTCCCACCGACAACCACCCCATCCCCCACTCCCTCTCCCATCCCATTCATATCAAGATTCATTTTCAATTATCTTTATATACAGAAGATCAACTTAGTATATACTAAGTAAAGATTTCAACAGACTGTACCCACACAGACACACAAAGTATAGAGTACTGTTTGAGTAGTAGTTTTACCGTTAATTCACATAGTACTACACATTAAGGACAGAGATCCTACATGGGGAGTAGGTGCACAATGACTCCTGTTGTTGATTTAACATTTGACATTCTTATATATGTCGTCAGTAATCACCCAAGGCTCTTGTCATGAGCTGCCAAGGTGATGGAAGCCTCTTGATTTCACAAACTCCAATCTTATTTAGACAAGCCCATGATCAAAATGGAAGTTCTCACCTCCCTTCAGACAAAAGTACTTCTTTGATGGCCCCTTTTTTCCTCTGGGATTTCACCCACAGAGATCTTTCATTTAGGTCATTTTTTGCCAGAGTGTCTTGGCTTTCCATGCCTGCAAAACTCTCATGGACTTTTTAGCCAGATCCAAATGCCCAAAGGGCTGATTCTGAGGCTAGAGTGCTGTTTAGGACATCTGCCATTCTATGAGTCTGCTGTGTATCCCGCTTCCCATGTTGGATCGTTCTCCTTTTTAATTACATTAGCCATTATCAGCAGACACTAGTCTTGTTTATGAACCATTTGACACTTAATCCTATCATTATGGTCATTTATGAACTGAAACTGATCACTTTGACTAGTGAGATGGCATTGGTGCGTGCCACCTTGAGGGAATTGAACTGGAATCCCCTGGCATATTTCTAGCTCTACCATTAGGGGTAAGCCCGAGTGAGCATGTGCCGAACTGTACATCTCCTCCCTCTCTTATTCCCACTCTTATATTTAACAGGGATCACTTTTCAATTAATTCTAAATGCCTAAGATTAATTGTTTGTTAATTAAAGAATTCAACCAATGGTATCGAGTGGAACAAAAAAATACCAAAAGGAATAAAATAGTAAGTTGTTCCTTGACAGTCAAGACAAGGGCTGATCAAGTCATTATTTCTCATAGTGTCCATTTCACTTCTACAGTTTTTGTTTTAGGTGCTGAGTTAGTTGTCAGCGATCAGGGAGAACATATGATATTTGTCCCTTTGGGACTGGCTTAATTCACTCAGCATGATGTTTTCCAGATTCCTCCATTTTGTTGCAAATGACTGGATTTCACTCTTTTTACTGCTGTATAGTATCCGATAGAGTACATATCTCATAATTTCTTTATCCACTCTTCTGTTGATGGACATTTAGGTTGATTCCAGGTATTAGCTATTATGAATTACGCTGCAATAAACACTGAGGTACAGACAGCTCTTTTATTTGCCAATTTAATTACCTTTGGGTAAATTCCAAGGAATGGGATGGCTGGGTCATGTGGTAGAGCTATATTCAGGTTTCTGAAAAATCTCCAGACTGACTTCAGTAATGGCTTTACCAGTTTGCAATCCCACCAACAGTGAGTTAGTGTCCATTTTTCCCCAAATCCTTGCCTACATCTGTTGTTGGTACATTTCTGGATGTGAGCCATTCTCACTGGGGTGAGGTGAAACCTCATTGTGGTTTTGATTTGCATTTCCCTTATGTCTAGTGATCCTGAACATTTTTTCACGTCTCTGTTGGCCATTTGGATTTCCTCTTTTGAAAAATGTTTATTTAGGTCCTTGGCCCATCTCTTAAGCGTGTTGTTTGTTTTGTTGTTGTGGAGTTTCTTGATCTCATTGTAGATTCTGGTTATTAATCCTTTATCTGTTGCATAGTTTGCAAATATTTTTTTCCCATTCTGTCAGCAGCCTCTTCACTTTCCTGACTGTTTCTTTTGCAGTACAGAAACTTCTTAATTTGATATAATCCCAATAGTTAATTTTGGCTTTGACTGCCTGTGCCTCTGGGGTCTTTTCCAAAATGTCTTTGCCTGTGCCTATATTTTGCTGGGTTTCTCTGATGTTCTCTAATAATTTGATGGTGTCTGGTCGTACACTTAGATCTTTAATCCGTGTTGGGTGGATTTTTGTGTAAGGTGAAAGATAGGGGTCTTGCTTCATGCTTCTGCATGTGGAAATCCAGTTTTCCCAGCACCATTTGTTGAATAGAGTGTCCTTGCTCCAGGGATTGGTTTTAGATCCTTGATCAAATATAAGTTGGCTATAGATGTTTGGATTGATTTCTGGTGTTTCTATTCTGTTCCATTGGTCTATCCATCTGTTTCTGTACCAGTACCATGATGTTTTGATTATAACTGTCCTGTAGTATGTCCTGAAATCTGGTATTGTGATGCCTCCAGCTTTGTTTTTGTTGTACAAGATTGCTTTAGCTATTCGAGGTCTCCTGTGCCTCCATATGAATTTCGGCATCATTTTTTTCTAGATCTGTGAAGAATGTCTTTGATATCTTGATTGGTATCGCATTGAATGTATAAATTGCTTTTGGAGAATACACATTTTGATGATGTTGATTCTTCCAATCCATGAGCATGGAAGATTTTTCCATTTTTGTATCCTCTTCTATTTCTTTCTTTAAGATTTTGTAATTTTCATCATAGAGATCTTTGATGTCCTTGGTTAAGTTTATTCCAAGGTATTTGATTATTTTTGTAGCTATTGTGAATGGGATTGATCTTAGCAGTTCTTCCTCAGCCGTGGCATTGCCTGTGTTTACAAAGGCTGTTGATTTTGTGCATTGATTTTATGTCTTGCTACTAGCCAAAATCTTCTATGAGTTCCAATAGTCTCTTAGTAGAGTTCTTTGGATCCCCTAAATAAAGAATCATATCCTCTGCAAAGAGGGATAGTTTGACTTCTGCCTTCCCAATTTGCATCCCTTTAATTTTTTTTCTTGCCTAATGGCTCTGGCTAAAACTTCCAGTACTATATTGAATAGCATTGGTGAGATGGGCATCCCTGTTAGTAACAGATCTCAGTGGAAATGCTTCCAACTTTCTGCATTCAATAGTATGCTGGCCGTGAGTTTTTCATAACTTGCTTTGATTGTATGAGAAATGTTCCTCCTGTACCCAATTTGCTTAGAGTTTTCATCATGAAAGGGTGCTATATTCTATCAAATGCATTCTCTGCATCTATTGAGATAATCATGTGGTTTTTCTTCTGAAGTTTGTTAATGTGGTGTATCACATTGATTGATTTGTGAACGTTGAACCATCTCTGCATATTAGGGATAAATCCCACTTGGTCTGGGTGGATGATCTTTCTGATGTGTTGTTCTGAATAGTTTGAGAAGAACTGGAGTTAGTTCCTCAAACGTCTGGTAGAATTCAGCAATGAATCCATACTGTCTTGGGCTTTTCTTTGTTGGGAGGGCCTTCATTACTGATTCAATTTCTGACTCGGCTATGGGTCTGTTTCAGTTTTCTGTCTTCATGGTTCAATTTAGGTAGGTTGTATGTGTCCAGGAATCTATCCAGTTCTGATAATTTCGCAATATGTTTTCATACAACTCTGTGTAGTGTCTTCTGATAACTCTTTTTTATTTCTGTGGTGTCTGTTGTTACATTCCCTTTTTCATCTCTGATTTTATTGATTGGGGTCTTTTCTTTCCTTTTTTTAGTTAGTTGGGCCAATGGGATGTCAATTTTTTTTTCAACATCCATCTCTTCATTTTGCTGATCTTTCATCGTGTTTTTTTTTTTCAATTCAATTCTATTGATTTCTTCTCTAATTTTAAATTTTAATTATTTCTCTTCCCCTGCTAGTTTTGGATTTGGTTTGCTTAAGTTTTTCTAGATATTTGAGATGCATTGATAGCTCATTTGTTTGGTGCCTTCCTAGTTTTTTGATGCAGGCACCTATCACTATAAAATTTCCTCTTAACACTGCTTTTGCTGTATCCCGTAAGTTTGATATATCGTGTTGTTATCTTCATTTACTTCCAGAAAATCTTTGATTTCTCTTTTGATTTCTTCTATGGCCCAGTGTTCATTCAGGAGCATGTTGTTCTGTCTCCATGTGTTTGCATATGCTCTAGGGATTCCTGAGTTGCTAATTTCCAGCTTCATTCCACTGTGGTCTGAGAAGCTGCATGGTATGATTGAGTTCTTTTGAATTTGCTGAGACTTGCTTTATGGCCTAATATGTGGTCAATCCTTGAGTAGGTTTCATGCACTGCTGAGAAGAATGTAAATTCTTTTTGTGTAGGATGAAAAGTTCTGTAGATATCTGTTAGATCCATTTGAGCGACAGTGTTGATTAAATCTGCAGTTTCCTTGTTGATCTTCTATCTGGTTGATCTGTCCATTGTTGGAAGTGGAGTATTGAGGTACGCCAATACTATTGTATTGGAGTCTAAATCTCCCTTTAAGTTCCTTAATATATCTTTTAAATAGCTAGGTGCCCTGTAATTAGGTGCATATACTTTTATAATAGTTATATCTTCCTGTTGAATTTATCCCTTAATCATTGTATAGTGCCCCTCTTTGTCTCTCATAACAATTTTTGTGTTAAAGTTTATTTTGTCTGATAATAAGATGGCTACACCAGCTCCTTTTTGGTTTCTGTTGGCATGGAATATCTTTTTCCAACCTTTCACTTTCAGTCTGCATGCACTTTTGTTGGAAAGATGTGTTTCTTGTAAGCAGCAAATAGATGGGTTTTGTTCCTTAATCCATTCAGCCAGTCTGTGCCTTTTAACTGCAGAGTTGAGGCCGTTATCATTCAATGTGACTTGATAAGTAGTGAATTTGCCCTGCCATTTCCCAAAGATATTTCTAATATATGCTTTGAACTTCTCATGATCTTTTACTGAGGGATTTTCTTCCTTTACCTTCTTTCATATTGATGGCCGTGTTTCTGTGTTTCTAAGTGTAGCACATCTTGAAGCATCTTTTGCAGAGCTTGATGAGTGGTCACAAATTCTTTCAATTTCTGTTTGCTATGAAAGGTCTTTATTTCCCCTTCATTCACAAATGAGAGATTTGCAGGATATAATATTCTGGGTTGGCAGTTTTTTTCTCTTAGTACTTGGGCTATATCTCGCCATTCCCTCCTAGCCTGTAGAGCTTCTGATGAGAAGACTGCTGTGAGTCTAATTGGAGATCCTCTGAGAGTAATCTGATGTTTCTCTCTTGCACATTTTAGAATCTTTTCTTTCTGTTTCACTGTGGTGAGTTTGATTACAATGTGTCGTGGTGAGGATCTCTTCTGGTCATGCTTATTGGGGGTTCTATGTGCTTCCTGTACTTGGATGTCTCTTTCTTTCTCCAAACCCGGGAAGTTTTCTTCTAGTATCTCACTAAAAAGGCCTTCTACTCCTTTCTCTGCATGCCTTCAGGAACTCCTAGAACATGAATGTTGGGTTCTTTAATGGTATCCTGTAGATTCCCAACAATATTTTTTAGATGTCTAATTTCCTCTTCTTTTCTTTGGTTTTTCTGTATACTTTCCTGTGCTCTGTCTTCTAAGTCCAACAGTCTCTCTTCTATCTCACTGATTCTTTTTTAAGGCTCTCTAATGTGTTTTTCATTTGTTTCATTGAATTCTTCATTTCATTTTTATTTATCTTCAATATCTCTATTTCATGTTCTACTAAATTCCTCATTTCATTTTTTTCCCTCCTTTAGATTTCATTTTCACAAGAGAGATTGTCTGTCATGTCCTGCATGGATTTCAATAGTTCATGCATTTGTTTTTGATTATTTTTAATATTCTTATCATAAATTTTTGGAGTTCCATTTATTGCATTTCTTCTATCTCATCATCTTCATAATCTTGTATTGGAGTGTCATTTTCTTTTGGGAGCGTCATGATGTCTTCCTTTTTCTTGCTTCCTCAATTCAGTGATTTCGTAAGTGACTATATCTTAGAAACCATTGATAGCTCATTCCAAATTATCTCTGTCTCCAAATTTTAGCTTTGCCTTCTTATTATTAGTCCTCACATCAGCAGACTCCACTCATATTTATGTTCATTTTACAAATTTTTTATTAGAAAAGCAGAAAGACTGAAAGAGAGACAGACAGACAGAGTTATGGAAATCTTCTATTTGCTGGTTCACTCCCCAAATGCCTGCTGTATTTGGAGTTGTGCCATGCTGAAGTCAGTAGTCAGGAATCCACTTAAGGTTCTCCACATGGGTAGCAGGCATGCACATACTTGAGCCATTATCTGCTGCCTCCCCTGTGCCTTAGCAAGAAGTTAGATTAAAGGCAGCGACAGGGGTAGCTGTTACCAGGCTCTCTGATATAGGATGCAGGCATCCACAAAGTGGCTTAACCCACTACATCACAGCACTTGCCCCCATCCACTGATGTTTTGTGATCTATGCTATACTGCATTCAATATGTTTTTTGGTTACAACTGTGGGGTTACTTTGGAATATGTGTAGTCAGTCATGGCTTACAGTCAATATGTGTCTTGTACTGGCTTAAATGGAAGGTTAACACCTATCATACCTCTATCCATACTCCAGGTTTTGTCAAAAGAATGTGAATTTTCCTTTTGGCAGAATTTGAGAAAGGATAATATCTTGAGTTGCATACTACTATTATTTTTAATAATGAACTCAGAACATCTATATAGCTTCTATCTTTTACTTTAGAAAATAAGAGATAAAGAAACTATCATTGAGTTACAATTTTCAATTAATGAAGTAAAAATAAACATCTGTGGCAGAAATAATACATGAAAAAATAAAAAAAAGTTACTAAGAATAAAAATCAACAAATGATAATTCTAAGAATTGGATTTGTCATTCAGGGAGTTTGCAAAATCTATTAGCAACTCAAAAATAAGTTACTTGATTCACTTGAAGAAATAATAGCTGATGTCATACACAATCAGCTTCCCATGGATCATTGGGTCATTCAACAATTTGGGTCCCATATTCAAGACATATGTTCTATATTCTTTCTTAGTACTCTATTATTTCTTACTCTATTACATTATCATGTCTCCACTGAAAGCTGAAACTCTTTAGCATGATACCAGATAGTTAGAAGGGAACTAATGTGAGTGAATTTTATTTTTTTTCCAATTTTTAGTCAACTCAAAGAAATATCTTTCTTATAATCTGTCATTTTTTGTTTCTCTACCCTTATCTCATGTTCCAGCCCTCTAAACCTGCTTTTTATTTTATTTTCTTAAGATTTATTTATGTATTTGGGAGGTAGAGTTATGGAGTAAGAAACACAAAAAGAGAGATCTTCTATCTGCTGGTTCACTTTCCAAATGGCCGCAACAGCTCAAGATGTGCAATGGGATCCCAGGAGCCAGGAACTTCTTCTGGATCCCACATGAGTTCAGGGACCCAAGCACTTGGGCCATCTCCTACTGCTTTCCTGGACAATAAGCAGAGAGCTAGATCAGAAGAGGAGCAGCTGGCACCCATATGGGATGCTGGCGCCACAGGTGAAAGCTTAGCCTACTGCAACATAGCTCTGGCCCTCTAAACACGATTTTTTTAAAAAAGATTTATTTATTTATTTGAATCCAGAGTTACACAAGAGAAAAGGAGAGGCAGAGAGAGAGAGAGAGAGAGAGAGGTCTTCTATCTGCTGGTTCACTCCCTAAATGGCCTCAACTGCCCGTGTTGTGCCGATCTGAAGCCAGGAACCAAGAGCTTCCTCTGGGTCTCCCATGTGGGTGCAGGGGCCCAAGGACCTGGGCCATCTTCCTCTGCTTTCCCAGGTCCTAGAAGAGAGCTGGATTGGAAGTGGAGTAGCCAAGACTCAAACCGTTGTCATATGGGATGCCAGAACTGCAGACAGCTTTACTTGCTATGCCACAGTGCCAGCTACTAAACCTGCTCTTTAAATTTGAATTAAATGCTCAGTGACTCTTAAGCTGATAATTATTTTAAGGTGGCATATGCAGAAAAAAATTTTTGCTGAAATTGAACTTTCCTTGTGCTTTTTAGAGTATACAAAAGCATTTGCATCCACTGCTGTGAGAAAATAAGTTTGTCTTAAAATTTCTATGTAGCTGAAACCATATACTTAGGATGACAGGAAAAATTTAAATCTTTAAAACCATAATATTTTAAAGATTTATTTTATTTGTTTGAAAAAGAGAGAGGTAGATTGGTAGAGTGAGAGATCGTCTATTTGTGGGTCCACTTCTCAAATGGCTGCAATAGCCAGGGTTGGGCCAAGCTGAAGCCAGGAACTTGGAAATCCATCAAGGTCTCTCACATGGGTGGTAGTGCTTGAGCCATCCTCATGGCCTTCCCAGGTACATTAGCAGGGAGCTGGACCAGAAGCAGAGCAGCCAGGACTCCAATTGGTGCTCTGATATGGGATATTAGCATCAAAACAGCAGTTAACTTGCTGCACCACAATACCAGCCCCAAACCCCCAGGTTTTATTAACTTTCACTTTAAATGGACATAATGCTAGTAGCAAGGAAGAACTATAATATTTTCCAGTTTTTGCTTCAATAATCATTCCAATGGTGTAACCAAATAGTCCCTTGTGAATTTTGCACTTATTTGTACTGCACAAGTTCACTACTACTATTCTTTAACAGTAATGGTGATTAGCAGTGTTATTCTATCACTCAAATCATTACCCAGAAAACTAAACAGAAATTAAAGTTATTGCTCATTGTCTTGTGGCTTTTAAGGTGAACACTTTAATCATCCAGTATTCTTGAGATGATTACTAACAGAGTATCTGAACTAAAAGGCATAATTTGACTGTCTTTCTTTCGCAGAAAATCATTCCCTTCTCAACATGCGACCCTCGCTGCCTTTGCAGCTGTGTATGTTTCGGTAAGTAACTGGTTCTTTTCCAGGAAGCTGTATCCAGTAGAAAATTAGAGGAATAGGTGTTGTCTACAGGTAACTAATTAGAATATATCACTGTGCAATAGCAGAAAGTAAATTTTAGCAATTCAGTCCTTCAATACAATGCCATCAAAAGCAGAAATCAAACACTTTTATAAAATACAATGCAGTAAAAGAATATTTCTGCAATGCATGATACTTTTACTTAGCATACTATCCTTTTAATGTAATATATTTCTGGGAGAGTATTGTGGAATACATCAATGTTACAAATATTTAAACTGAAAGACTTCTAAGTTCACACAGACACACACACACTTCTCTTAGTATCTGTGCAACAATGGTGAGTACTAAGTCATAAATTTGATAAGTGTTTTACAATGAATAGTCACTGCTCTGGTTAGCGCAATAGTCAATGAAGTCTTTTTGTGAGAAAAATGGGCTGAAGTTATGTTTCAGGTAACATGGAGGTTAAACAGTTATCTGAATAATTCAACTGCTTCAAAGTTTCTCAAGCAGTCATGTGATTAAATGAGACACCTTTCATGGCAAGGACAAACACAGACATAGCAGAGGGAATAAAGTAAAATGGATGTGAATCATATCAAGCTTCTGAGTTTAACTTTTTATTTGATTATAATTTACTAATAAAAATGACCATTCTAACATACTTAAGCCACCTCTTTCATTTTTAAGATGTACTTCAATTCCACATTAACGGATTCCTCTAAGCTTCTGAAACCCCTCTTGGTCTTCACATTTATCATCTGTGGAATCATCTGCGGGCTAACACGGATAACTCAGTATAAGAACCATCCAGTGGATGTTTATTGTGGCTTTTTAATAGGAGGAGGAATTGCACTATACTTGGTAAATAGTTCATTATTATCATTTGATAAATCATAAATGGAAAGCATGCATAGACCGTTTTGCACTAAAGTAATTTACCTGCAATATGTTTTCTTTTCATGAGAAAATCTCTGGCATCATCTTTATTTTCAGACAAAATTCATATGAAACTTCAATAAAATAATTTATTGAACTCTTATTATGTACTGGAAATATGATTTGAGAAAAATTATTACATTTATTCTTTACAATAACTTGGGGTAGAGAGAGAAAAGTATTACTACTTTATAATTTTATAGGTGAGGAAAGAGTATCTTAGTGAAGGTAGGTTAGTAAAAGTGAACTTTCCCAACAACACAACTGTAATAATGATATGAATGTAATTATGATCCAATTAATATTTAATTTTTAACAGTACTCTATTTTAATACCTGATCTCCTCCCAAGAGAAACATACTCTGTATAAGGAACCTGAGGATGTCTATTTCATTTTGTCATGCATGCATTCACTTGTCCATTTTGCTTTCATTCAGTATCTACTCTTTGCCAGGTACTATGGCAAATATTAAAACAGTGAAATAAGATACATCTTTAGAAGCGTACAATGTAAAGACTAAAAAAAATAGTTACAATATGTTAACTAATATAAAGTTTGAACAAAATTCTTTAGCAATAGCAATCTGCGTAAGGGTTTAGAGAACACTTCATGGCAGTAAAGTTTGTGCTTAAATATGAAATTCTCTTAAGGAAACAAAGGAGGGAGGACTTTCTAAAGGAAACCACCCATGCAAAGTGATAGACATGTGAAACAGCATGTGCAAGTAGAAGGTGAGGGAACAGGAGACATAAAAGATAATGTAGATAATGTCCACGTTTCTAGCCTGAAAAACCATTAAGATGGTGACTCTATTAGCCAACCAGGTAAATGACAGAGGAAGAATGTTGGTTAACAGAAATGGGCTGAATCGATCTGCAGTTGTCTGGAGTTCAAAAGAGCAATCACTACTGGAGAAATAGATTTTCAAACCATGGATAATATTGGTGGTATATAATTGTTGTCATTTGCGGTATTTAAAACTTCAAAGTCCTAAGAATGAAAAGGAACTAGGGAACACCAATATGCAAATAGCCTGTAGAGGAAAAGGCAATAATGAAGGAAACTGAGAGAAGCTGACAGAAATAAAAATCGTAGCTGTATATATTAATCATGTGGCCTTAGTGTATTTGGAAAGGTATACAAGAAAGTAACTACAAAAAATGGTAAAAGTACTGAAGTGTGAAGCAATTTAATATTCTTTTTATAAATCAGCACACTCTAGATTGCCATTTAAATTTTATTCTCACATGATCTTGTTAGTAAAGGAGGAGCACATCACAGTTCTGGGCACTGAATATTGAACAATACAGCAGAGCTTATAGTTTAGTGGAAACATTTTCTAAATTTAAAAATTTAAGTGCAATTATTAATAAACATTAGGTAGAAACTGCTCATGCTGCTGAATTCTGAAGGTCGGAGCTTAGACAGATATTATTTAAAAAGGAATTAAAGTAGCTGAGGGCCAGGAGCTTGCCTTTTTTTCTACTCTTGTTTGAATTCTATGCCCAGAAATTGGAAATTTATCAGTTTTAAGCTAATGCTGCTGTCTATTATTAACCATTTTATAAAATGTCAAATTTATGACATTCCTTTATTTTTTAATCAAAAAGACAGTGGCTACCATCCACTGAAATCAAATAGATCTCTGTTGCCTTATCTCATCTTTGGCTTAAGCATCCCAGAAACTGAAAACTCCAGCAGTTATCAGTTCTTCTTTGTGAAAAAAGGGTAATGAGTTTCAGTCCGAGCACCAGCCTTTTCCAAGTTGTTGCTTCCCAAATCTAACACAAACAAGATATTAAAAGAGTATGAAGACAAGATTAAATCAAATCTGTCTCAAACACTATTTCCCAATTTAAGACGAAGTTTGAATCAAGGGAGAATGTGATCCCTAGTCTGTTGGGTTCTGCCCCTTCTTCCAAGAGCACCCTGTCCAATGCTGAATAAGCAATACTATGTCCAGTGTGAGTTGAGTTGTGATAATATGTGTCTCTGACCGCATTTTAGAACCTGATAGCATGTTTTATGGATAATCCATTGTTCTTTATTTTCTGCACCTCTTCTGCTTTCCGTCATAATACATGATTGAAAATGAGAGGAAACATAAGTCATTTAAGCCATTTGAGGTGTCACTCAACAAAAAGTTCCTAAATTCAGAAAAAGGAATTGCTTTAAAAAGCAGAAAATCTCCTTATTTCTCTTACTGTCTGCCTTTTCTTCTGAAAGTATGTGCAGGATAAGACTGGCAAACATTTTTGTGGAACGGGGAAAGAAGTGGAGTCTTGTGGTCCTGAACCGTTAGTTCAATGAGTTATGCTTTAACTTGCTATTTCCCGCAGTAATTGTACTTTTTGGTTTGTGTTATTTGTGTTAGTGCATGGTGTATAGGGAGCACAAGCCTTACTTATGCACTACAGTGGGTACTGGAGGGAACCTGTTAGTAACTCTGCCTTGCAGGACATGACGTACCTATCCCTCTCTCTTGAACACTAGGGCCTGTATGCTGTGGGGAATTTTCTGCCTAGTGAAGAGAGCATGTTTCAGCACAGAGAAGCCCTCAGGTCTCTGACAGATCTCAATCAAGACCCCAGCCGAGTTTTATCAGCTAAAAACGGTAGCAGCAGTGATGGAATTGCTCACACAGAGGGCATCCTCAACAGAAACCACAGAGATGCGAGCTCCCTGACAAACCTCAAGAGGGCCAACGCTGATGTGGAGATCATCACCCCACGGAGCCCCATGGGGAAGGAGAACATGGTCACCTTCAGCAACACCCTGCCGAGAGCCAACACTCCCTCAGTGGAAGACCCGGTGAGGAGAAACGCAACCATTCACGCTTCCATGGATTCCGCTCGATCCAAGCAGCTCCTCACCCAGTGGAAGAACAAGAATGAAAGCCGCAAGTTGTCCCTGCAAGTTATGGAGAATGAGCCCGGACAGTCTCCACCCAGATCCATCGAAATGAGGTCAAGCTCAGAGCCAAGGGTGGGGGTGAATGGAGACCATCACGGGCCTGCCAATCAGTACCTCAAGATCCAGTCTGGCACCGTGCCCACCTGCAACAACAGCATGCCGGGAGGGCCGAGGGTATCCATCCAGTCCCGCCCCGGGTCCTCCCAGTTGGTGCACATCCCCGAGGAGACCCAGGAGAACATAAGCACCTCCCCCAAGAGCAGTTCTGCTAGGGCCAAGTGGCTGAAAGCTGCTGAGAAGACTGTGGCCTGCAACAGGAGCAACAGCCAGCCCCGCATCATGCAAGTCATAGCCATGTCCAAGCAGCAGGGAGTCCTGCAGAGCAGCCCCAAGAACACGGAAGGCAGCACGGTCTCCTGCACTGGCTCCATCCGCTACAAAACCCTGACAGATCACGAACCCAGCGGGATCGTGAGGGTCGAGGCGCACCCGGAGAACAATAGGCCCATCATACAGATTCCATCCACCGAAGGCGAAGGCAGTGGCTCCTGGAAATGGAAGGCCCCCGAGAAGAGCAGCCTTCGCCAAACCTATGAGCTCAACGACCTCAACAGGGACTCCGAGAGCTGCGAGTCCCTGAAAGACAGTTTCGGTTCCGGAGATCGGAAGAGAAGCAACATTGACACTAACGAGCATCACCACCATGGCATCACCACTATCCGTGTCACCCCAGTGGAGGGCAGTGAAATCGGCTCAGAGACACTGTCCATTTCTTCTTCACGCGACTCCACCCTGCGGAGAAAGGGCAACATCATCTTAATCCCTGAAAGAAGCAACAGCCCTGAAAACACTAGAAATATCTTCTACAAAGGAACCTCCCCGACACGGGCGTATAAGGATTGAGCGATGATGACCCTTCAGTGCTTTGGGTCACTCCCAGACGCCGTGTGTGGATCCTACCTGCGCTCTGCTGCAGACAACTGGGAAGCCTTCTCACCACACCGAATCGTCCACCATCAGCCCTGCACTCTAACTCTTGAGGTCTACTAGGCTGAACTTGTAGATTTTACCAAGGGGAGGGAAAAGCACAATGCAAGAACCTAACCAGTGTGATCATGTGTTTTCTTAAGACCTGTCATCAAACTCAAAAGGTTTTGCAGAGGACAGTATCCAAAAAAGTGATTTCCTTCAGTGTATACGGTTTTACTTTCTGAATGTGCCAACTTTGGGGAATTTTCTTTAGTACTAGCTGTAGGAATCCAGAACACAGGTTTTCCCTGCAGCAGAGGCCATGCAGTATTATATATTCATTTTGCAGAATCTGCACCAAAAGCTCAGTATGGGTGGTGCTGATTATTATAGTACATGTACCATGTAAACTCTCAAACTCTATTTAGCTGTGAAGTAGTGGTGTGCAATTCCTTGTTGAAGAAATACTACTTTATTAAGAAGATACTGGCTACTTTGTGTTAGAATAGGACACCCCGCAGCTTCCTCCTAGTGGCTCTGTCACAGTCAAGAGATGAAAGGGTTCATGTGCATTTCTTCAAAATTATGCTTTCTTCAACATCAGAAATCATGTAGGAGTATTTTCAGTGAAAGGAAATAACTAGTACTTTCCTGCATAGTTATTCTGCTGCTTACTTTTTATTTAAATATCAGTACTGCTAATAAAGAATCTGTTTTAGTGAGTATATTTGCCTAATTTAAAATATCTATTGTTTTAGAGAATCTTTTGAAATTGTTCTGAACATACTTTGCATTTTTATGACTTCTTTTTTTACAGATTTAAAATTGGTTATATATATATATATATATATATATATGTTCTCCTATTTCAAAAGCAAAAATTACAATTGACATTCCTTGAGCAAAATATGCTGCTGTGAATCTATAAATGAGAAATCTGAGCCAAAACTTGACATTGTGGATTACATTGCCAGAAATGTTGGTTAAGTCTAACTTTAGATGTCTCTAACAAGCCAACTTAGGTTGCCATCATAACAAGTAATCCAAAAATTCTATTTGGTTCCAGATTATTAACTATAAAACAGTAAATTAAAATCCCAGGGTGTTTTAGCCTTTTTGTACCAAATATTTTTGCTAATTGAACATCAACAGGAAGATCAGAAAAAATGCAAATTGGTAAGCAAAAATATCTTGCAGTATAAAATAAGAATGTATTTCTTCAAAAAATCTGAATAGGCACAGTTTTAGTGCTTAACATGCAAACAACATTTTTCGCTACCTATCTTGAATTAAGCCTTGAGCCTAAATCAAAGGAAACCAATGCTGTCAATAATAAGGACATAGAAACAAAACATTTTGAAGTGTTTTCTGACTTACATATTTAAAGTATGAAGAAATACTCGGTTCTTGGCATTTGGTATTAAGCCTTTTTTACTCCATTTCTAAAGACTATTAATATACACTTGATGATTGCCAAGGTGATAACACTAGGAAACAACAGACCTGGTGTATCTAAGTTCCAGTTTTCAATGAGAACAGATGGAGCTGCTTAGAGACAGCTAGTATCACATCATTATTAGTTTCTATACGAAAAGGGCAGAGCTTCTTAAGAGCAATCAACCTCCTAAGGCATTCAGAATTCAGCTGAAACCAGCAGAATTGTAAACTCTGGCAATAAAATACAGACTCAACTGATATCCCTTCTGGCAATTTCCTTCTCAGAGAGAGAAGTGGGAGTGAAATGTTGCCTTCCCCACTTCTAAGCACCGCCACCATCGTGACACCACGGCTGGTTTTAGTACTCGGAAGGAAAAAACAAAAAGCTGCAGCATTTCCGGTGCAGTGTGATATTTACTAATCTTTCCTATTTCTTAACAACAGATTTTAAAATACTTCTCTAGTCATTGAGGTTTTTTTTCTTTACGTAAATATTGATATATTCTTTTTCTACTCAAAGTGCCAAAGGCTACAGTTTTTAATGACTTAACAAATTGTACCACATTGTTAAGGAAATATCATGATAGACACTAGAACTCAGACCTCTGCATGTATATTTGATAATACATCTTTTGTAAAAAAATTACAAAAAAATTTGTTTACATTCCACTGGTACCTTAATTTAAATAATTCAGACTAACAGGTGGTATCTCTTCTTAGTGTTCTATTTATCTTATTTGCTAATGGGAGCACTTCTTCCTTTGTTAGGCTGTGCTTTATTGACAAAACCAAGTATTGAATAAAGAGAGTTAATTATCTTTTTAAAGTAAATAAAATTATGGAAAATATATATATAATATATAAAAAGTATTGTGTTTAATAAAATGTTATGCAATGTTTTCCAAACTGATAAAGTTTGTAAAGTGCTATAAATGTATTTTGTTAAGTACAGATTAAAGCTATTGTGTGAGTATATTGTGCTAACATCATAGAAATAAAGATTAGATTTCTTCATCAAATCAATATTTGAGTTTTTACTTTAAAGTATGGGTGGAAAATAGCCTGGATGATATAAAAAGTGTTGAAATAAAAACAAATTATAATTGATAAAATCAATTATTTAGAAGGAAGGTTGTACTAAGAAAGTTTTGAATATGACAAGTTTCCTTTTTATTTATAATTTGTGTTTTATGTTTATTGAAAGATCTGTTTTACACTTAGGCATATATTCCTTTTTTAAAATTTAATTTATTTATTTGGAAGACAGAATTACAGAGAGGCAGAGGCAGAGAGAGAGGTGTTCCATCTGCTGGTTCACTTCCCAGATGACTGCAATGGCCAGAGCTGGGCCGATCCAAATCCAGGAGCCAGGAGCTTCCTCCGGGTCTCCTATGCAGGTGCAGTGGCCCAAGGATTTGGGCCATCTTCTACTGCCTTCCTAGGCCATAGCAGAGAGCTAGATCAGAAGTGGAGCAGCTGGGACTCAAACTGGCACCCATGTGGGATGCCGGCACTGCAGACAGTGGCTTTGCCACTACGCCACAGAGCCAGCCCGTAGACAAATATTCTTTTCACATATGAAGGCTATAGTATACTTAAAAATGTGAAAGAGTCAGGATCAAGTTATAGGAATCATTTGTTGACTAAGAGTAGTCGATACATGCACTTCCCCAGACACTATCACCCTATATGCCACCATGACACTGATGTTGCAGATTTTCTTCAAAGATTCCTTCAGTATTAATTCCAGAATTTTCTTTGACACTACTGATGCTGATTATGAGTTGTACTACCAATCATTTTTTGTCAGAAAGCATCAATACAAAGTTTTTATCATCAATATTCATCCGTACATTAGAAAAGCAGTGGTTTTTATATGAGTATAATTATATATGCTCCGCTCTTTTACTGGTTCATTGAATGAAACTTGAGGTTACAATTGTTCAATAAACACCAAGCTCATGCACAGTTCATGCACAAGTTCAGGCAACTAAATCATGATGATTGCCTGGACTGTAAGATGCCGTTAACTGTAAGAAATATTCTGGCTTTAAAGAAATCAATATATGAAAAAATATGCATCTTATAGTGGCTAACATGCAATATTATGCCTCTTTGTGTCCTGATTTTTTTCAACTCTAAGCTGAGAACATTCAGCCATATAATCACTTTGAAAATATCTAAGGTCAGTTCTAAACTAGCATTATATATTTTATCCAGTGAGAAAAAGACTACTGATGAGAAAATAGGAAATAATTTGCTATCTAAAATAACTAATTTGTGGTGTCATATTTGACCACAAAGTTAAAAGAAACATGCTGATTGGGGTTACTAACAACCTATATTAACCATTTTACCACATAACAAATCATAATAGGTAATCTGTATTCTGTATACCTGATCATAGTACTTTTCTCATGAGGCGTCAAGTGAGTAGATTCTTGGTTACATATATAAGAAGCCATCAGAGGCCATATTGTTTCTGTCTTTTATAGCTCAAGTCTTTACTTGATATCTGGCTCATTTCAAATTACAGGTTGAAATGAAGATGGACATTTGTACATGATTCAGAGAATAATTTAATTAAAATAATATAATTGAAAGAAACCAAAAGAATTGAGAGTTTACTCTAAAAGGAAAATGTAGAAACCTCAATAAATATTTTCAAATGAATGATGATTGAGTGAGTGTATGTATGACTCTTATGACCCCTTAGTCAACATATTTCTCAATATTTTTCAAGGATTAATCTAATCTCTCCTTTTTAAGAATAGTTATAGACCTTTGTTCTGCGTGATCAAAGAAAATCATACAGTTTGTACAAGAGTACTTCAAAGTTTCTTGAAAAATGAAATAAAATGATAAGTATATTTTGGTGCAAGTAATTCTGAAATACATGGATGCAAATATCCAAAATGTTTGTGTAAAATGCATATGAAAAAAGTCAAGCATGGATTTTAAATTATTTGCATAAAAATAAACTTACATTTTAGTTACATGAACTTTTTTCATATTCCTTTTATTATTAGTTTGATAAATGAGGCATTTAAAGTTTACTTCACTCTAAATTGTGAACTTTTTATTAGTAGCACCTAGCACAATAAACATCCAAGAAATATTAGAATAATTGAATGTGTACAAAATATTCTATTTTTTGTGAGAGAATACAAAATTATTAAAATAAATAAACTATAGAATGTCTGAGGGGATTTTGAAGAGAAAGAAATGGTTGCCCATTTGTTTGTGCCCTGCAGTTTCAAAATTTTTTAAAAAATCCACTCTAAGACACTGAAGTCAAATTTGAATTACTTGTATTTTCTTGTTTTTCTTTTTGAAGCATCTTTTTAGAGTGCTGGCATAGGCTAAGCCAGATTTCTTGGAACAAGCTGTCTTCTCACAAAACAGATGATTTAGCAACAGTTGTTTTTTCGAATGTTCCCACCTCCACAGTAATCTCTGTATCATCTTATTCTGTCACTTAATACAACAACAGAAACAACAACAACAAAAAAACTCACAAAATGTTCTGCATAGTCAGTCATTCAGGATTCAAAGTCAGGTATGTGATTTCTTTGAATCTGTCGTAACTTCTGATTTATTTTTCCCACCCAAAGTCTGACAAAGATATAATATTTCTTAGAATTACAGAGTATTGAAAGAGTCTCTGGTGTGCCCCATTTTCTTGCTGTACAATGGGGATAATAAATTAAGATTTTAATGGGATTAAATGAATAAGCACAGGTAAAGTGTTTAAAATACCATGTGACTTTAGTTAGCAGAATGTAAACGTTAGTCATATTATTGGGCAGGATTATGCGACTTTTTCACCTCTGGTCCTCATCTCTCCCTAGAACTCTAGACTCAAACATACAAGTGCCTGCTAGCCTTATCTCTCCTTCATATCTATAATTATCTCAAATTTAATATTTTCAAATAACCTTTTCTGCTCTCTATTCCTGAATTTTTCCCTCTTTGTAACAGCAAACTTTCTACCCTTCTACTACAAATAACAAGAAAAATACTAAATCATATGCTTAATCCATCCCTTACCTCTTCATTTACTCCCAAACCATGTTTTATCAGGTACACCAACAAAACATACACCAAGTCTGATCCTTTTTCTCTAATACCACTGCTGTCACCCTTTGCTACCCCATCAACTCCCGAGAGTCTTATCCAGGCCTGGGGCTTCCATTTCTGCTATAGAGTGAAGTTCTTAAAAACACACAGTAAATTGGATCTCCTTCAAAACTCCTGGACTGACAAAGGGAAATTCATTTTATGAAATCATTAAAACCTCAGTATGAGTATCTAGCTCTCTCCTCAGGCAGATAGAAGTTTCCTATTAGTCAATTCCAAAAGTCAGTGATATTATCTTTAAGACAGAATGTACAGTGAACTCAATCTGAGCAAATGATCTACTGAGAAAAGACTGCAGCTGACATATTTACTTTAACATATTACCCGTGAAATCCAAGAAAGGCTAATGTGTCAATTAATCAGTCAGTTCTATTATTAGTGAGACATCAAAACAATAATTTTAGTTATACAACTCATACTTATTAATCACATCCAATATGTCTATGTCCTAAACATCTGCTAGATTTAAAATTTTCCAATGTCCTTTCACAGTGATAAGAAATGGATTTTCAAAGATCCCCAATGTAACTATGTCACTTTATTTGGGAAGAAAAGTCAGTATGTGTTTTTAAACCATAATCTTCCAGAGTATAATTCTATTAATTCCCATCGACTTTGTTAAAAACTAGGTATCTTTAAATATATGCCCAAGTTATAGGAATGCTAAACTTAAATTCTTCAAGATACATGAAACAAAGCCAAAATTCATACCCTATATACACATGGGTAAAACAAGACTGAATACTTTTCCCCCAATATTACTCTCAGCCTTCTTTGAAGCATCCAGTGTCCATGGGAAAGGGGATATGTTAGTTAATAAAATTGCCAACTAAAGGCATATCAATTCCTTTTTAACAAGACAGTCTTGGATAAAGGCTTCTTGGAACCAGACAAAGCCAGTGTGCCCAGATGAAAGTGACCAGTCCTTCTGCTGAGCCTTGATTTTGTTCTGAGCCTTCGCTTGCTTCCATGAAATGCCCTGTGTGCTGAAGGCACTGCTGCTGCAGTGGGCAGCCACGAAAAAGTGGGGTCTCTTCACTCAGTATTTTGGATTCCTGTGATTACCCTGGAGTTGCCATTTCATTGTATCTCAATCTCATCTTTCATCTTACTCCAGATAAGTCTATGCTGCTGTGAGAACACCACATTCATCTCTTTCCACAGATGCCCTGTGGCAGACTCACCAGCCCTCAAATTGGCTCTTCTCTATTTACCTGCAGGACATAGCAGGGACTTCTGCTACCCACACAACACACTGGTGAGGCACCTTTTCTGAAATGTTCTGTTTTTAGTCCTCCATCATCAGTTTCCAACCAGGCACTGCACCTCAATTTGATAAGTATGAATAAGACAGTTTTTCTCCATCATAAGACTCACAAACTAATGAGGAGGAAAAAGATAAACATGAAAGTTCACTTAGTGTGCATAGTCTCAAAGCACAGATGTGTCACAAACATTGAAATGGTGAGCCTCTCTTATATACAGCTTAACCTTTGAAACTTAAAGATAGGAATTTCTGTCTGAAATGAGGCTATTCATGGGTTGGTAAATTCAGAATCATCACAGCATCATCATAGTTCTTTAAATATGAACATCTCTGAAAACTTTAGTGAATATCTTAGAAAAATAACACATCATAAACTTATTATAGTTACCACAGTCAAGTAATTAGGGCAGACCTTCTATTATTGCTGCAAATACAAAGGATTAGAGTAGATATTAAGAAGCAATAAATATTTCCCGTTACACTATTAGAAAATTGGCTGTGGAAGTGAAAAGCCAAGTTAGTACAGTATGAGAAGGCTTCAGAAAGTTGGTAGAAAATATGCATAACTTTCCCTTCATTTTCCATGACTGTTTTGATGCTGCCTAAAAATGTCTTC